AGACTGCCTTGACCACATCTCTAGTGTTAGTTTTGCCATCAACTTCAGGTTCATATACAGTGTATTGTGATGCTTCAAGAGTTTCTATTGGGTGTGTTATGATGCAAGAGTGTAGAGTGATTACTTATGCGTCTCGTCAGTTGAATCCCCATGAGAATAATTACCTCGTTCATGATCTAGAGTTGGCTGCCATTGTTCACGCGTTGAAGATTTGGAGGCATTATTTGTATGGTGTGTCTTGTGAGGTGTTTACTGATCATCGTAGCCTCCAACACTTGTTCAAGCAGAATGATCTCAATTTGAGGCAGTGGAGATGGTTGGAGCTCCTAAAGGATTATGATATTACTATCTTGTACCATCCGAGGAAGGCCAATGTAGTGGCTGATGCTTTGAGTAGGAAGGACGTGAGTATGGAGAGTTTGGCATATATTCCTGTTGGGGAGAGACCTCTTGCAGTTGATGTTCAGGCCTTGGCCAATCAGTTCGTGAGGTTGGATATTTCGGATCCCAGTCGGGTATTGGCTTGTGTGATTTCTCGGTCTTCCTTATTTGACCGCAACAAAGAACGCCAGTATAATGATCCTCATTTGCTTGTCCTTAAGGACAGAGTTCAGCACGACGATGCCAGAGATGTGACTATTGGTGATAACGGAGTATTGAGGATGCAGGGCCAGATATGTGTCCCCAATGTGGATGGGCTTCGGGAGTTGATCTTGGACGAGGCCCATAGCTCACGGCATTCCATCCATCCGAGTGCCGCGAAGATGTACCAGGATTTGAGATAGCATTATTGGTGGAGAGGAATGAAGAAGGATATTATAGGATTTGTGCTCGGTGTCTCAATTGTCAGCAGGTAAAATATGAGCATCAGAGACCGGGTGGCTTGCTTCAGTAGATAGATATTCCAGAGTGGAAGTGGGAGCAGATCACCATGGACTTTGTAGTTGGGCTCCTACGGACTTTGAAGAAGTTTGATGCTATTAGGGTGATTGTGGATCGGCTGACCAAGTCCGCGCACTTCATTCCTGTGTGTACTACTTATTCCTCAGAGTGGTTAGCAGAGATTTATATTCGATAGGTTGTTCACCTGCATGGGGTTCCAGTTTCCATCATTTCAGATAGAGGTAATTAGTTTACTTCACAGTTTTGGAGGGTCGTGCAGCGAGAATTGGGTTCTCAGGTTGAGTTGAGCATAACTTTCACCCTTAGACGGACGGGCAGTCCGAGTGCACTATTCAGATATTGGATGACATGTTGGCCGCTTGTGTTATTGATTTTGGAGGGTCATGAGATCAGTTTCTACCACTCGCGAAGTTTACTTATAACAACAGTTATCAGTCAAGTATTCAGATGGCTCCATATGAGGCTTTATATAGGAGACGGTGTAGATATCCAGTTGGTTGGTTTGATCCGGGTGAGGCTAGGCTTTTGGGTACAGACTTGGTGCAGGATGCTATGGACAAGGTGAAGGTGATCCAGAAGCGGCTTCGTACAGCGCAGTCGAGATAAAAGAGTTATCCTAATATGAAGGTTCGTGATGTGTCTTATATGGTTAGAGAGAAGGTTTTACTGAAGGTTTCACTCATGAAGGGTGTTATGAGATTTAGGAAGAAGGGTAAATTGAGTCCTCGGTTCATTGGGCCTTTTGAGGTGCTTCGGAGGATTGAGGAGGTGACTTATGAGCTTGCTTTGCCACCCAGCTTATCGAGTGTGCATCTGGTATTTCATATTTCTATGCTTCGGAAGTATATTGGCGATCCATCTCATGTTTTGGACTTCAGCACAGTTCAGTCAGATGATTATTTGACTTATGATGTGGAGCCGGTGGCTATTTTGGAAACCTTAGGCTTGAATACGAGGGTGTTTTGATGATTCGTTGTTGTTTTGAGTGTTCCAAAGGTTGGTATAAGTTTGAATTGTATTATGTGAATTGTTCGTACTTTTGGTTAAGGTCCCGGGGGCCTAGGGGTGATTTCGGGTGGTTATCGAAAAGTTGAAAGTTTGAGTTTGCAGTTGAAGTTGTTGAATTCCTATCATAACCGCACCTGTGGATTGAGGACCGCAGGTGCGAGATCGTAGAAGCGGAAGAGCAGCCGCAGATGCGGCCAGGAGCTAGAAGACCAAAAGTTGCAGGTGCAGAAGGTTGAGCGCACCTGCGAGACCGCCGGTACGGTAAGTGAGGCACAGGTGCGGTCCCAGGACTTTAAGTGGAAACCGCAGATGCAGTTGTTTAGACCGCAGAAGCGGTGAAAAGGGCCACATGTGCGAAATCCCTGGGTCAGAAAGTATAGGTTCTCCTTCAGGAAATTTGAGTTGTTTTCACCATTGTTATCCGGGATTGAAGCTTTTTGGGAGATTTTGAAGAGGGAATTCAAGGGAACTTCGTAGAGGTAAGATTTTTTAAACTAAAACTCGTTCTATGGTGATATTTTACTGATTAGACATGGAATTTATGGAATTTAGTGGTTAAAAATTGGGGGTTTAGGGTTTGAAATTGGAGACCTTGATTTAGAGATTTGAGGGGTCGTTTGTGGTCGGATTTTGATGTTCTTGGTATGTATGGACTCGTGGGAGGATAAGGATTCTATTGTTGTGATTTTTATCGGAGTCTGAGACGTGGGCCCGAGGGTCGGGCTTGGCCAATTTCGGAATTTTGATGTAATTTGATTATTTTTGCATGGGTTTCGTTCCCTTAGCATATATTGACGTTATAATTATGATTTTTGATAGATCCGACGCGAGTTGAGGCCGAGTCGAGAGGCAAGGGCATCGCGAAGTAGTATTTCGTCCGGGTCTAAGGTAAGTAACAATTGTAAATACACACATGCTAGGTGACGGGCGTGTGGGCGTGCACCCATAGGGATTGTGACTTGGTCCGTCCCGTGGCGATTGTATTGTTGCATATTTTGATATACTGTATTTGATATTCACGTGTTTTAGAAATTGGTTTGATCACTTGGGTTGAATGCCATGTTTGGGGTCTTTGTGCCGACCTGTTTAGACCCTTAAGGTATTTTTACTACTTTCCTCATTCTATTTGATTTGAAAGCACATCCTAGTCATGTTTTTCTTGCTTATTGTTTAATCCAGTTTCATTACTCTACTGCTTAATATATGAAAACTGTTTGGGTTGAGATTCCTTGATTTTCACTGATATGCCCGAGTGGCCGTGAGATTAATGACTAAGAGAGGTTGAGGACTTAATGGTAATGATTATATATATATATATATATATATATTATGGATCGAGTTACACGCCACAACGATATTATACTATCTATTATGGATCGGGCTGCACGCCGCAGCGATATATATTGGGTTAGTCTGCACGCCGCAACGATATGACGTTTCGGCTGTAAGAGCCCCTCTGGAGTCTGTACACCCTCAGTGAGCGTAGTCGACTATCTATTATGGATCGGGTTGCACGCCGCAGCGGTTATTATTATTATGAGATATCTATTGAGCCGGAGTACTGAGTGTGAGTATTGATTGATGAGAGTTGAGTCACGAGATTGAGAGGCTTGCCCGAGAGGCTATACTTATGAGTGATACCTTGCTCGAGGGGCTTGTTTATGACTTTGCTGCTTTCACTCTTCTTTTTATACTGAGTCTCTGTCAAAAAATGTTGAATAAATATTTTCAAAGGATTTTGAATTGAAACTGGAGTTTTACGAGATAACTCGCTATTGAATTGCAGATTTCGACTTGATATTTCTGTTGAGATTTCTTATATAATTTTAACTGGTCGTCACTGCACTCAGACTTTGTTTACTTTAGTTACTTACTGAGTTTGCATACTCACATTACTCCATGCACTTTGTGTGCAGATCCAGGTGCCCGAGCATTAGAGTGAGAACTTCCAGCACTCTCAGAGTCGTATCCGGAGATCGCAAGGTAGTTGCACGACGTTCGCAACCCTGCCTTCCTCCTTCCTATCTTAGCATTTTGTTATTTCAGACTATTTTGTATTATTCGGGCAGTGTTTTGGTTGTACTTAGAGGCTCATGACTAGTGACACCGGATTCGGACTGTGTTAGTATATTTTGTACTGGTTTCCGCTATTTCTGTTGATTTATATATTACATATGAAGAATTTGAGACTTAACCGGTTTTAGAAAATAATTTTATAAAAAGAATTCGATGTGGTAAATGTTGGATTGGCTTGCCTAGTATTGTGATAGGCGCCATCACGATCGGGGTATTTGGGGTCGTGACATTTCTGGTTCATATAGGAAAAAATGAGTGAGAAATCGTGGAGAGAGAAATAAGATACTATGCGTTATTTTGGAAGAAAATAAACTGAAAGAATGAGAGAGAAAAATATTAGACAACATATTTAATGGCTTAATAGTAGAAAATGACCATAAATACATATTTTGCTAAAAAAAAACTAAAATGTAGCTATAGAAAATAATATTTTAAAAAGGGTTTTATTTATAATAAATATGGTGTAAAAGTTTGCTATAGGAGGTAAAATAATGCACAAGAATCTTATAAACTGAACCGAATTAATTTAAAATGGGTCAAATCGAACCAAATTAAGCAAAGCGAACCGACCAAATGTAACCTCCTCCACTAGTGGTAAGTTTGCCTAAATACAATGGCACCCGTAGCCATCAAATCCTGAAATCCCCCTCTGTCACCAATCAATTATGTGGAGCTTGAAGAGATCTAAGAGCCAGGTGAAGAGAGACGAACTACAAGCAGAACGTGTCAATTAGACGAGCAAAGTGAAAATAAGTGGCTGGAATTATGAGGTTAAACTTTTAGAGGCACCATGGTAATTTCCTTCCGAAGGAGATAGTGTTTCTCCACTGCCCAGAAATCTTCCTATGCGACAAGCTCCATTGCTTCAGTTGAGCCCTCACTTTGGCTTGGTGGAGGCACTTTTGATATTTTTGCTAGACTCGTATGCCTCCCACTCTTTTGTTGAACCTTTAGTTTGTAGATTATGTATGTTTGTATGTATGTGCATGGCTTTTATATACCTTCAAACAAAAGACTAAGAAATTTACCAAATGCGATTTATGCGAAAGGGTTATGAACCAAACAAAAAAGGAGAGAACACAGTAGTTATCTGGTAGTTCTAAGAGCAGCCAAGTGCTAAGGGTAGTGGATTAAGGTCTGCCTTAATAACTACAATTACAATCTGCTGCCAACAATGTGCAAACCCGGACACTTCAACTGCTACGAGAGCAGCAAAATATGGCAATTCAAACAGCAACCTAGAACCTGCTGAACAATCGAATCGCAGTTTACCCAGCAAACAAGAACCTGCTGAACAATCGAATCGCAGTTTACCCAGCAAACAAGAACCTGCAAAACAACAATTGTTGATTTTCTAGCAAATAGCTAATTCTGTCGTTCCTCCCAAAGATTTCCACTAGACCAGATGGATCTGAGCATGCCCTCTTGCTGAGCTGCACCACCAGGAGCCTGAGACATTGTTTTTAGCTGAGGCTTACCCCTCTCCCCCACCTTTCCTGGGGGGACGAGAAGGAAGAAGGGCGAAACAATGCTAGTAATAAAAAAAAAAAGCATTCAATAGAACTATGTTCTTACCATTAACAAATTTCAGGTAACAAACGATCTCAGTAAAAGAAACCCTCCTCATCATGATACTCGCCGCTAAATGGGTTAGTGAAGTCGTCGTAATCAAAGTCATCATACTCATAATCAAACAAATAGTCTGAGAGGCCAGCTTCAGACACCCCAGATGGGTATTCATCATTGGAAGAACTATAATCACAAATCTGAGCTCTAAACTCATAACCAGAAGTAGAATCACGCGGGCACTTCAGATCCTTAATCTGTTGGCGACATCTCTTTCCTAAATCCCCTTCAAGATCAATACTATAACAGTGGCGCAAGTCAAGTGATTCAAGCCGCCGGCAGCCATCAAGAATGGCACGCAGGCCTTCATTTGTCAAGTTATTCCCAAAAAGTGCAAGGCGTCGCAGTTCAGGCATATTTCCTGCAATAGCCAGAGCTTCATCATTGACATTAAAATGTAAATTTCTAAATCCTCTGAATCTAATGTTGTTCAATGTAAATGACTTGAGCTGCGAGCAAGAACGACCGATAGCCACTATATCAGCTTCACTAATAACAGCTAAGTAAATGTGCAACTCCTCCAACAACGGAAAGTTCTTGGCAACTGCAGCCAAACCTCCATCTGAAATTTCATCACAGCTGACAAGTCTTAGATGCCTTAGCTGACTTGATCTGTTCAGAAGCGCACAAGATTAGATCAACAGACATGAACTTAGTATAAAAATAGTACAACTTACGTTAGATTTTTACCAGGTTAACTAATCTAGACAACATTTGCTTACATTAAATTTTCCATGTAAATCAAACATAATATATCCCTAATGCATATTCAATGGTATCTGAAATTTTCCGTGAATCATGTCATCCATGAACTTAGCACACACATAGTACATCTTATGTTAAATTTTTGCTAGGTCAACTGATCTAAGACAATATTTGCTTACTCATTGAAGTTTCCATGGAAATTACATATAATATATCCCCTAACATGCAGTGTTTCCCACCCTTCATTTATTTTTGATAAAAAGATATATCTGATGTCTCATGGTGCCACCGCTAGAAGCAATGTCATATAAAAATAGATGACTCAGCATGGTAATGCCCAAAAGGCAGGCGAAAGATACATTTTGGCCAAAGCTTGACCATTTAGCAGTACAGAAGTCATATTATGTCACAACAGAGTTACAGAAGATTATAAACATGTTAGAAGAACTAATGTGTCTGGTTCCTCATGTGCTGCAGCGAGAGAGGGTGCTCTTTGTATGCACAAAATTTAGCACAATATCCACAAAAGCTGAAAAGACAATCTTATTTCAACTAAATATACATATTTCAGCAAGTCAAAAAGCCAATTGTGCAACAATTAGAAAAAAAGAGTTGTTTCTAACATTGAGCACTTTATACTCAAAAACTGAGACATAAGCAACATTTGAACCAACTTCTATCACATCTTAAGTAAAATTATTCACCAATTCCAAACAGAAGCACGTAACAAAATTTGGCATGAAAAAGATATAATATGGTAGCATGGTGCACGAAGCATCCCGCATTAATGAAGGGTCCGGGAAAGGACCGCACCCCAAGGGGTACCCTGATGCAAGCATCAGTGGCTGCTCTAACCCGTGACCTATAGTTCACACATAGACAACTTTACTGTAGCTCCAAGGCTCCAAGGCACCAAAAAGATATACCACACATAAATCAAATTTCGATGAGGAGTGATTTGTACCTCAAAACAAAAAATTGAAAGGCAGATCCTTTTGAAGTCTCAACATCTTCCACCAATAAGCATGTTATTGCACCAACATTCTCGTGAAGTTGACAAATTTACTTAATATGGTTTATGACAACAATAGATAATTGGGTGAGTTGAGGTCAAGTTGATTAATAGGTTTATGAGAGAATATTGTCCTGTTTCAAAACAAAATTTATAATTTATTTAAAACACATTTACAACCATGTCTCTACCGACTCCTACACATTTCAATACGCCTGCTATATGCCAAAATGCTTGCAAAAGGTATTAAATAAATTTTAAATACCGGAAAGGGTAAATTGTCAGTTCCATTTCATACCTCTCCGCTATATATTTGAGTAAATCGTTATTTCCAAAATGCTCGATGTTAATTTTGAGCAACTGACCCTGGCTGCGATTCACAGCGACGCGGCACATCCAGTCCAAGTCATTATCATCTATGTCCACAGTACTGTCGTTTCCCATGTCAATATCCCGCCACATGATAGGGTCATGGCACACATTCCACCACGTACTACAAACTCTCTGTGCATTTTGCAATATCTCTATCGCTCCCAACCGGAAAAGGATGTCCGCCGTGATTTCTCGAGGGAGTTCCACCCACGGCGGAGACGGCGGTGGTGGTGGTTTGGAGGAAGAGGTTGACGCTTTCTGATTTTTCTGCTTGATTCTCCCTACCAACCGTTTTGGCTTCGGCATTTCTCTGTGTTTAGGGTTTTGTCGTCTGTGTTTTCTCCTAGTACTTTCTGATTAGCCTCTGACAGTGGGAATTTTAATACTCAAATAGACGGGTCAATGAGCATTGAAAAAGCCTGTTGATACTCACGTGGTTTGATAAGGGAAAGGATAATAATTTCCGATAAAATGTGCTATTGTTACTATAAATATTATGTTTACGGTGGATGTCTACTCTTACTCTATAAATATTATATTTACGGTGTATGTCTACTTTTACTCCATGATCTTCATGTCAAATGCTTAATGACATATTCAATGACATAATTTCTATGTTCAATAATATATTTCATGACATATTTTCTATGTTCACTTTTCATGTCTATATAAAGGCCTTGTAATAGATAGAAAAATATACACAATTAAAAAAAATCTCTTTCTTCTCTCTATATCCATTTCTTGTTCATGTTTTACTAAACTACTTTTATTTTCTTGTTCCATATTGTTATTTTGAGTTATATTTCATAACACATTATCAGCACGAGTCTCTAACCAATTGTATATATATATCTACAAAAAATTTCCTACATCCGGAAAGATTACAATTAGAAGCCATACATATCATCACATGGTTAAATGTAAAGAGAAACTACATATGGTAAGTAATGAAATGTAAGAAGGTATGATTATCTTATACTTGTCATTCCTTTAAAATCTCATATGCACACAACTTCGTACTACACCTGTATTGCATAAGCACATATTAATATTACATCTTTTATATCACATGAATGGAATAAAATTTTCGAAGTTCTATATGTGAAAATCATAGTAGCAGTTAATTGTTGATATGATGCATGTCATGGTAACCAAGGATATTTTATATAAATTGTCCTATGCATATTTATGTGTTAACTATCTTCAATCTGTCCTGCCGCTTTAAACATTTTCTTTTACTT